ACCGATATATTATGCCATCATACAAATGACTATCAGTTGCGAAGATTGTTGAATTTCGTTGAAAACATCAACTGATCAATGTAAGACCATCATTAAAAACATGAAAGTACTGAAAGGCCGTTACGTCCTAGTATGGGACTCATGAACTGTACGCATTCACGACCACTCAAGCAGTAATCGAACCCAGGACCCTAGGTCTTGCTCTCGAATGCTTAAGCATTATACCATTGTGCCAACATCCAATGATATTAATGTCTAACCTCAATAAAGCCATGATATTGCTCACTCGTTCCTAGCTCTAAGAGGGAATTCTCATGGTTCGACCGTGTCGGTTTGAGTCAGTTACCCACAGAAGACAATGGGAGATCAACTAATAGGTGACTTAGAATGGTGATTGTGCGATATTACGTGTTTACTCAAACTGAAAATGTAAATCACGTGATTCTGACTCGTATCCACTGGATTCGATCCTTGGGTATGAGTTCCTAAGGAGTTCTACGCTAGAAGGAAAAAAGATTATACAGTTCTCTGTAATTTTTTATAGTACTTTACTTGATATTAATTTTAATGAAAACTAACTTCATAATAATAACAATACTCATGTAGTGTAATTTCGTTTATAACATTTAGAAATTACATGAAATAGATCTGTAAACAGTTTATGTGCGATCAAAACAAATATATATTCACTTGGTATTGCTTGGTTTGTATCTTTCCATTGAGGTTTAAGACTGCAATCGATCAGTCTGTTATTGGTATATGTGCATACTGAGCGTATGCCTCAATATTACCTTAATTCACAAGCTATTGGTAAGCAATGATGGATAGTGGCTAGCAGTGGAATCCAGGACGCGCGTTTCGTCCTATTTGAGACTCGTCTCAGGGAGACCAAAATATGAGGAAACGCGCGTCCTGGATTCCACTGCTAGTCACTAAAACAAATATCTAGTTTTAATTCATAATAAAAGAAGTATAAAAATGAAAAAATGATGATGATTGGGCCTAATCAAGAAACAAAACCAAAAACAAAATTATTCATTTTATGACTATTATTTCTGATATCACTTCCGATTGATATCAACATTACCGCAAGAAAATGATGCTAAAACACTAAATATTACCATAAATAACACTAAGTCATCGTTACTACTATGATTTTAAATCAATAAATGTGTTATAAATATGTGAAGACGAAGCTAAGGTTGTTTACATTTTATTGATTTAAAATATTTGTTATTTCTTGAGTTCCGTATTTTTATTATTTATCAACGATACAATAAATGGAGTGTATTATGTGTATACAAGTGTAACGAGAAATATCAACATGAAAAATATCATCTTGACAAACCGAATAAATGATTAGACCATTTTGTTTACCTAACGCATTGGGTTCTCTTGACAAATTTAAACAAAACTGTCCCTTCCAAGGGACAGTTGAAGTTACTTATTAGTATTCGGAAAACATATCTGTTTCCTAGTTGGGTCTCAAACAATTGCTACGGCTATATGCCAAAAATGTTCAGTCCCAGTTCTATAATAAACTATACAGTCAAGCGAGTGGCATGGCTAATGACGTCCTCTTTGTGCTAGTCCATCCTTATATTTTCATAGCAAATCTGAAGAGAGCTATATTACTTTATTCCATCAAAGAGACCGAATTTTATCTAAGGTACATAATGGTGCTTTCATTTATCTGTAAAGGTATATATCATGCATATAAGTCATTTGAAATTTTTAATAAATCCTGTGTCGGGTTTGCATTTGTAAATGAAAGTAATGATACGTATTATTTCCTAGACTGAGGATTTGCTAGAAAAAATAATGGGGTTTTCCATTGGTGTATATATTTTAGAAGGAAATTCGCAACAAAAAATATCTATAATTAAATGGCTTTTGTCTGATAAACTAATAGGTATGGTTTAGTGAAACCTCTGTATAGTAAGACTAAGAAGTTATATTCTGTAGAACTTGAAGCAGTATATGCAATTGTGGAAAAGTATTTTCGAGTAAAAATTGGGTAAGGAAACATTTATGGTGAAATGTTATGATAAATGCAACACTGGGACGAATGGTAATAAGCCTGAAAAGAAACATGTCATCTGACTGATGTTTAAATTAGCCAGTCTGAAGGAAGCTTTAACTAGTAGATTTACCACCGAGAAACTCAATCCAACACATATAATGCGATGCTCAATAAAGCGAATGTAACAGATAAATTTCCTACACATATCACCTGCAATCATATATGCTCATTTGTATTTACATGCAAAACCAGATACATTGCAAGGACAGAAAAACATGTGTCAGTGCGCTTTATTAACCTTATTACCAAAAACTTAATTATCAGAAGATAAGGTAAGCCTCATAATTCCATAGTGCGCAATCTACTGAACACCAGACATTAAAAGAGTATGCAGTATACACTTAAAATAAAAAAATAAATACTTGTTAAGGTTGTAACAATCGAGAGATAAAACCTGGACTCTGTATTCAAAAAGAATCACTGTTTGACCTTTAACTGTATTGGTAGCAGAAAGGAATAGTGTGTATAATTTTTTCTATTCATCATTTACAATTCAGCGAGTTTAATCCACAATTCGTCTTCTTCACATAAATCCTTAATAATTTTTTCGTTTTATTACGTAGTAAAATCATACGCCCTAGTAACCTAATTACCACTTCTATCATTTATGACAACTTAATTAGTCATAACCCTGCTGCGACATCTACCTTTCAAACAATTTGATTATAAGTAATAGACAGCCCATTTATTTAAATTATAGGTAATATTATTACTTTCATCTGTTTTGCTTGGTATATATAAGTCGGATTTATGGATAGTTTTAAAATTTTCGATTGTTTCATTGCTTCTTAGTAGACTCCAAGTAATCATATATGCATAATGTGTATCTTCCGAGACCATAACTATATGATTGTATTAAACTGTATGAGTTATGTTAGAATACAAATCATTCGACATTTAAACTACTGTCGTTCGTTATTGAAATTATGACAGATTTTATAAAGATGGTTAATCACTAAATTGGATTTTTTCGATAAGGCTACATTTAACTAATGCATCTGGGAAAGCAAATCTTTTTGGTAACTGAACGTTAGTACCAAAGTGATTTAGTTCAAAAAGTGAATTAAATGGGATTCTGTAACACAATTCAGAACTAAGATTGCAATTACTGCAAGTGAAGCAATGTGGTTACGAAAGTTAGAATCATTCATTTATTTAAATACTTCCGATAATTAAAGTAGCCCATTTGTCATTAAACAAGAATAAAGAGAATTAATCGAAAATTTCCTCTCCGATAGAATCATTTAGTTAAGCTGCACATTTGTATACGTAGTTAGTCGATAAATGTATAAGTCTATAAGAGAATAAAAAGAAATTACAGCATAAAATGATTTTAGATTTCAAATATAAAAGGTTAGGTAAATGTTGAGAAATTAAAGAAGAATGGGGATAAGAATCCTTAACGGGCTAGGAATAAAAAAGATAATTGTCCAGTTAATAACTGAATAATGACCATGAAAATTGCTAAAGGATAATACTAAAAACAGATTACGGTTTGAAAAATTACAAAATAAAAAACCGAAACACTGAAGAACAGCATTAGGGCCATGGAAGAATGTGAAGTTGCATGTGTTGCTTCTGTGCGTTGAAGTGGTGAATTATCGACAACCCAGCAATACACATGCTTTTGATTGAACTTGCCTTTGATTTCATTTTCTTTTCATCCTCTTATTCTTCTCTAACCTCTCGACAATTACCTAACCTTTCATATTTGAAATCTAGAATCATTTGATGATGTAATTTCTTTTTATTCGCTTATAGACTTATACATTTATCGAATAACTACAAATACGAATGTGAAGCTTGAGTAAATGACTTAGTTGAAAAGAAAAATTTTCTTTGATGAATTTCTCTTATTTTTACTAAATACATCTACTGAAACAACTTTAAAAAGGCATTTAATAAGTTTAAACAGGTATTATAGTGATTAACATAATGACTAATTTAATAAACATAATTGTCTCATGTTTTACTTTATCGAAGTTACCAATTTTGATTAGTACCCTGAAGAAATTCAGACATGTCTACCGGGAGAAACTTTGGAATTATTTAAATTTCAATCAGATATTAACTCAAATATAATTTTCATTTGTAACAAATGGATCGATCAACCCAACACATTATTTTCCATTATAAACAGTTTATGATAGATAAAGATTACTTATCTTTTCCATAACACAGTATTTTGACTAATCACCTTCAAAAAGCTCTTGAACTATTATAAAATTTCCTTCCTCATTCCGTCTAACAATTAAACACCAATTTAATTATTACATAATACATGACATCTTTCAAATTTATAAACACCTATCCCTTTTATTGCTTTCGTTTTAAATAACGTGACGTTTGAAATTACTGTGAAATTATTTAGAACAATATTGATGTTACGTTCTCCCGACTTTTTAAATATCAGCAATGGTTACAATAGAAACCATTAATATTTAGCGTTAATGCTTTCCAATAGTATTAACTGTATAAAGCACTTGTTTGTCTATTTAGAATTTAATTAAACATTTAGTATCTGTGAGAATTCGTCACACTATCCAGCTATACTGACTGACTTTAGTGGAGTGGTGTTTGAATATTTGACTTCGTTGATTAAAAGTTGAATATTTAAACGACTAAGCTGACTTTCTATTAAGTGAACGAAGAAAGAAACCAATAAACGTTTACTATCTAAATTATCTAAAAATTCTTGTCATTCGTATCTTGGAGACTTAATTTGATCTTAAACTACATAAACTAATCACCAATATTTTTAGGTATACATTGTCTTACATAGCTTTGAGAAATAATATTAAAATTCAATCAACTTATTTGTAAGCAAAAAAAACTAAATGAATATTTGATTAATAAGGGCCTTCTCTATAACTGATCTGTATATATTTCTAAATGGATTTAAAAAATAAGATTATTTCCCAAGATTAATTTATTAAATATCAAACAATTATTACTTCGTTATTTCATGATGTTGCACAGATAGTTCAGTTTGAAGTTACAAACCACGGACTGACTGGTTAGACAACCATTGAAGACAAGGAAGCATTGAGTAGCTATTTTGTTTAAATAGAATAAGAATCCCAATGAGTCCCTAACAAAAATTAGTTGGTGATGTAAAACACTAAGTTGGATGCATGTTTGTTGTTAACTCAGTATGTAATGAAGAAATAATTTAATATAAACAAACTGTGTAAAATAAAACCATTGGAAACTCTACAATATTGTTTTTATTTTATAAGATAAAATATTGTCATGAATAGGTTAGACAACTTAATTTCAAGACAGGAAGTATTACAAAAAATGTACAATCGGTTACTTTTTATATTAAGTCATAATATAGTTAGTGTATGTCTGACTTGTCAGGAAAACTATAATGCACTCAGTCTTGTTTTGTTCTTCTAACTTTATTCCCCAAAAAAATATACAGCACAACATAATTATAATGCGCATTCAACTGGACAATATCACTAAATAAAAGTTTTATTTTCTTTTTTGATGGGAGCTACGTAACAGAGCAAATTTCATTTTTAAAAAAGACAATAAATAGATAATGCAGATGTTTCACAGAAAAACAAAATAGAACACATAAATAATGTAGAAAAATAAATAATGCACTGAATACTACTACTTCTACTAGATGTTGCTTTAAAAGTACGGCTGATATATAATCAATAAAACGTAGTTGCTTAGATACACAAATGTTGGTTAACAAGTAATGTTGGTTTTTAGTATAAAAAAATATAGAAGTCAAAATACAAGTTATGAAAGACATGGTGAAATGAAAAAAATAATAAATGAAGGCATGGCAAATAACATTCTCTTCGATTAACACACACAGGCGCTGACACAAACGAATGAAGTAAATTGTTCAACTTAACACATACAAGCACCGATTATGAAAGAATTGGTTTAAACAGCAAAAACAATGAAGCTGTTCAATATAAAAAGAAAAAATATACTTATTTTTATTCGAATTTGTAAGTGTAATTGAAGTGTAGAATTAATGATAGATGACAGTGATAAAGTTGTGTACATAAAAGAGAACAAGATGTGGAAATTGTAAAATTGCAAAAAAATATTATAATTTGATAACAACGTCATCATTATTACATTTAATCGTAATTACATAGTTTGAGAAAAGAATTATTATTCCAAGCTAGTCAAAGAGATATCACTGATATTCAACTGAGATAATTTAAGAACTATTCCAACATCATTATATATCTGTCGAAATTATATCGATTTTAATTAAGGTTAGATTCCAGTGATTTCGACACAGATTCGCCTGATGAGTGACTATCTACACCGGCAGTTAAATCATGACCAACATTAACGGTGTTTGAATCAGGACCATATGCAATTGTATAACCAAATAGCCTGCTAAACCTGTGTATATCACAAAAAAAACACAGAGAAAGTAAGTAAACAAATGACAACACAGTATGTTATATTAGTTTACAACTCTGTTAATAATATAATATATGCTGTGCTTATGAGGCATGGCAACTTGGACCGATGCATATATGTGCCTGGTCCTCCGCTGTAGCTGACTGACTGTTTTAAAAGAAAAAGAAATTCCAACTATGACCACACTATTAGTTCTTGACTATATATATATATATATATATATATATATATATATATATATATATATATATTATAAGTATAGGGTCGGGGAGGTTGTTCAGTATCATTGAAATCACAAGCCGATCAATGGTGGTCTAACATTAATACTTTCATGATACACATAATGATGCCAGCATTTCCATGGTTCCCTTTCCGTTACATTCAAAGTGTGTAATCATTATTATCATTAAAGTAATACTAAAGCCCTGATGACAATGAGTAATCTCGGTACATGAACTTATATTAAGCAATCCAAAGCAAAAAATGAGTATTTACCTTTCTTTTTATATTATCAAGATCCACGGGAACTAATGATCACTGTAAAATGTGAACCCTATGCTAATTACGAGCAGTATGTGAATAATAAAAGTTTTCGATTGAATAAATCGGTCAGTTTTCACAACGACTTCACTCATTATTAATATGTGTCTAAATATGTGCGTATTATTTTAGAGCTTTTATATACAAAAGCTATTTGACAATAGAATGGTCCTAATGTAGAAAATTAGTAGGTGTTAAAGTTATCCCATTCCTTTGAAATATTCTGTTATATAACATACTAAAAATTTACATGTCAAGTAACCGTTAAAAGTAGTAGAAATCGAATCAATGTTCCAGAAAATTAATAACTGTTGGAAAAATAGTCCAACCTTAAGCGATCAAGTGAATCTTTAGTGGACTTATATCTGACTCCAGATAGATCGTTTGCTGCTTGTTATCGAAATATTCATATAGCTAATCCTTGTACATGATCATCGACTTAAATCATGTTCGTGAATAGCTGGATTAAATAAACCAAATACGAGAATGGATTCTTGAATGAGTATATTTTGTACACTCACTGATTTGAACAGACAATCAGAAACGGAGCGAAGCGAGATGACGCACAGTGGAGAAGGCGAGTGAGCTAACATGATCTAATCAAGAGTGAATCGATATTTATAGTCACACAAACATAAGTTACAAGAAATGTGATGAGAAAGAAATGCATACACATACGCTCACATAAAAAAAATTAAAGGTTGATAAGCGAATAATTAACAAGGTAAAAATGTGACTCAAGAAGAATGAATAAACTGGTCTATCCGAAAGCTAGAATAAGTTATATGGGTTTGCATAGCACTACAAATGTACACTTTGGAAAATCCACTACATAATTCTTATCACAATTCTTATCATAATACATCATATGACCACATGAACATTTATGCGGTATATTATTATGATCAATGAAAACATAAAACCTAATTTCATACTAAGAGTTAACAGTTAAGTAGTAGTTTTTAAACTGCTAAGAAAGCATTTGCAGGTACTTTCAAGTGACGAGTCCCACATAGGACGAAACGCACGTTCTGAATTCCACTGCTAGCCACTATCCATTTCTACTTAAAATACTTTGCAAAACGTCACATACAAAAGTATTAACATGGAAATTCTAGTGGGAAATTTCATCTTTGTAATCTAGCCAACGTATACTATTAATAAAATATAATGATGACTAAGTACATGACAAGTGAGTGAAAATGTTTTAATCAAGAAGTATAGTGATACATTATCTTGAAAGTCTTAAAAGCCGTGCTAAGTTGGTAGGTGACATAATCCCAGTGTCAGACATAAAAATAAATCCAGAATTTCGATAACGTATATAAAAGTAGCCCAGTCTATGTTGGTTGGTGTGAAATATGGCTTATCCATGTGAGGGACATTTGTAGGTGATAAGTATTTCTATCACACATTCTTTCAGAACACGTGATTACGTGTACTGTAACCACTGAAGGAGAAATCCTGGAGTTTAGTGCAAAGTATGTGATAGAGATGACAAATCGGTAGACGAGGCAGCTGACCCCCACTAAACGATGCTTGAGACATCCCCACTTACCACTCACACAGCCTCGCACCCCATGAGGAGAATTAGTTCCCTCAAGATCACAAGTACACCTTGATGATTAGTGCTAATTAGTACAGAACATAGCTCAATAGTTTCCTGTTGATTACCTCCAACCATCTAACATAAAAAATATAGTGCATGACGTCTTGAGTTCTGTGGTGATTATCAGTTGCTATGTATCATCAGATCAAACAAAGCATTTGAAATAAAAACGAAACACCAGAACAAACTCATTTTTAACAAAAGATACAACGATCAACTGTTTTAAACAATCACTAACTGTAATTAATCCCCAATTAATATTTGCCTTCTACATTGTAGAAAGACATCAAAAGAGTGAATAACACATGGAAAGGAATGTTCAGAACAGTGTTCGATGGGCCGTCTATCAGTCAGTCAGTCAGTAACAATGTAGAACTTCGTACGTACGTACATCAGTTCGAGTTGCCACACCACATTAGCACAGAGATGCAGTTGTCGATTCAAATTCCGTAGTGGTAGAGGTAGCAAGAGTATAAACAGTAATCGGGAAGATTAGGGTTTGGAGATGTTATTTAAAGATGGATCAGGGCCGTCTATCCTGATCCATCAGGGGTAACAGGCGTAGTTAAGTAAGTAAGTTGTACAATATTTATTTACAAACAAATAACTGAAAATGATAATTGAAATTAAATCAATAAACAACTTCAAAACAGTCATATAGGAATCGATTCTATTGAAAATTCCAAAGTAATTTTCACAATATACATGTGATAGGATTATTGTTTTCATGTTCACTTAAGTAATATTAATGGCATTTTGTCACAAGAATAATAATAATAATAATGACCAAACAAATCGTGAGAATCAATGGGGAATCGTACGCATAAACATTTCTCATATCACGTTTTGGACCATCATTATTTTTTCATGTACATATGACTATGAGTAGTGGTAATAATAGTAATAATTGTTATGGCTTTATGTTGCGGTCGATTTTTACCCTGTGCTAATTGTTGTGTCCTTGACTGGAAAATTAGAGAGCAGCGTACTTATCGATCGATTACAGTGGCACGTAAACACGTACGGACGGCCTAGAGTCTCTATTGGTCTCGCTTCCCTGTCTAGCCCAGTCAGTTGAGTCCAGAACACAAGCCACAACATATGAGATATGAATCATTGTATTTCAAACATACTCTATCTATATACTAACCAAGCATACCACATCGTACCACAAAAATAAAAAACAACATTTTGTACAATACTCAACAAGTGAACACATATCGACCAATAGGAAATGTCCATTTAAAGTCCAAGGACACCATTGGACTAAACATGATAATTATTGATCTATTCCTCCGCATCCACAACAATAATAATAATATTATCACCATTATTATTATTATTATTATTATTATTATTATTATTATTATTAATGGTCAACATTTTATCGTTTCCTGAAAATATTTTTAGTTCCAAATACAAAGACAATTATTGAAGTAGTTATTAAAACGAAAAAACGGCTTATTCATAAACATGATTTTTTGTGAAAGAAAGAAAATACTATGAGAAACTAATAACCAATTAGTTTGCATGGAATTTACTTCAAATGATCTAGGGTTGAAGCATTTATCAGTTCGCTATCAGACTGTAAAACCATAAAAATTATTCAGATAAATAACAGATTTTTAATCTCCGGTAGATTGCACAAAATGAAAATCTTATCTAACATAATATTAATAACTAGTAAGTATTAGGGGATAACTTGTCATTTATTATTTTTACGATAAAATATCATAAGGTTAGTTCCCAGCTACTCGAAAGCTTTCGTGAACAAACTGAATGTAATTAAGAGTGAGTAATGATGAATAGATTTAGTTTATATTCCGATATTTGTGATTAGGTTATTAGAACAACTGACGTAGGTTTACTACAACAAACAACAATAAGCTATTGAATGAATAATCTTTACCACTTGACGAAGAGTGATAAACACTAGCAAATCGAAGTGTATTTTTTAACTGACAATTACATTAATAATGTTACCTACTAAAAATTGTTCAGTCCAAGTTATTAAATCTAACTGTTTAGAAGATCACAGAATTACTGTTCACGTCTACCTAAAACTGATTAAATTTGTGAGACCATTATCTATAGACGACCATTGAATGAGTCTTAAGTGACCTTGAAAAGATTCAGCCAATCAGAAAACAGTCTGTATGGAGTAAGAATATATCATACAAAACCAAACAATTGGAGTGGATACACTTCTTTAACATGGTTTAAAAACTTTTCAAGATTAGGAGGCTTTGCAGTTTTGAAGTAGTAATGCATACGATACAGGAACTCATCCATGTGACTTCATAATAATCGACCTCTGGAGCCATGATAAGGTCGCGAAAATTCTTCTAGCCTTGATCATATTGCTTCTATATTATTGTTGTGTAGTGCCATGGAGGGGTCTATATAATTTCGCTTGTGAACGACGATACGATGCACGTACCCGATTCCAGATTGAAATTGATATGCTTGCCAATCATCCGTGTATATAGCGGTACCCAGTTGCACATACTTTCGTATAGTCGGTAATATTGTTGTAGCCTGTCGGTTTCTCACGCGCTGGAAGTGTAGCTTTTGAGATGACCTATCATATATTCGAAGGACCTGCTAAGTATACTTAAGGTAAAGCTACTTACCTAGTATTCTTTAACATTTCTTCCTCTAATGAATTTGCGTTTTCTAACGACTGTTTCATCGATTTCTACGATTCTCCCAATTCCTCCAAAAGAATGGTTGAAGCTTGTCATTTTCATCGCACATGTATCTCGACAGTACTCATACCACTGAACTGTCGAAGCTTCAGTAAAATCTACAAAGTTTGCAGCCAGTGTTACTTTACTGGTGCTTTAATTATCCAGTTTATAACAATTATCATAACCTGTATTAGCGCCAATTGGGATCGAGTAAAAAAATTTCCCGTCCTAGTAGACTTTCTCCTTCAACATATATTACATCAAAATACAACATCGTCGCAATAGTCTGTATAATGTCCAGCAGTCATTTGAGCACCGCGATCATAAATAAAAGGACTTTTTGGTATTCCCATCTGTTGTAGCAGCTCAACTTTGACATCCTCTTTGGAATGTACGTTAATTGACCGTACGTGAGCATTGGGTATTGAAATAGGCGTCGTGATCTTGAAATCACTCATGCACTTCTGATTGTCTCGTCCATAAATTATAGTCTTGCCACTGAATTTAAAGTTTTGTAAATTAGTCATTATTAAGATGTCCTACGACACCAATAAACGAGAGATCTTATTGATCTCGAGCATATATAAACGACTTGAAAATCCAGTTATTACATCAATTTCTTACCACACAATGTGTATAGTAACTTACATGTTTCTTAATCCAACAGATTTCCTCCGTCCATTACTTGGGGAATTCATATACTGAACTGATAAATTGTAAGAACCTTGTGACCAAGAGTGGTTAGAATCATTTAACTGATATGGACTAAGACATTGAGCTTCTGACGGCAAAACAGAAGCTAAAGGAACAGCCTGATCAAAAGTTGAGAATAATCCAGTTAAACCCGACTGGACGGTTGAAAAGAATGACCTTGGTACCCAACGCTCAAAACCATCACCCGTCGAAACTTGTAAACGAGATTTCTGATCTACTCGTAATGTATTCATTAAGCGCATTGCATCTTGTAGTTCCAAGAATTTCTCTTTATAACTGTTACGTTCTGCGATAACACGAGCCATTTCTCGTTTAGTGAAGAAAGCTTCACCGAATTTCGGTACCTAATTGTTTGCCCATGAAAAGGTATCAAAAGTATACAAAAACAAGAATAAAAACACTTTAAATAAATTCTAAAAAACACTGACCATAACAACTGACTTTCAGATTGTATTGAAAATTTAAAGCCATTTGGTTGTTGAATATTGAAGTCGTCAATAACTATAATTACTAATGCTTTGGAGCAAGAAGTTTAAACGTTTAGCTCTAAAAGACAATAATACTAACGATAGATAATCTGCATTGTTGTAACTACAAGCACTGATATTCATTTAATGCTTACTTTATAGCTCCTAAAGGTGTATGGTAATATGTTGACAATATATATATATATATATATATATATATATATATATATATATATATATATATCCAAAATATTTTTTTAAAAGCTTTTGAACTGTACGACATTCAAGTCAATATTGGGCGCAAACTACAACGCAATAATGAATTTCTGCAGTCATATTAGCAACAATCAAATAAATGTGATTCTAGGATGATAAGAATTCTTACTAAATAAGAACATACTTTATTAAGGGTACTCTGTAAATCGTATCCATCTTCAGTTTTATTCATATCATTCAATGGTGAAACATCATTCAAATTATCTACAGATTTATTACGATAATTTGATGATGTGTGACATGTACTTTCTGCATTTAATGTCCAACAGGATTTCGACTGTTGTATTGAAGTAAGAAGTAATCTAGATGAACGTTGATCAGCCTCGTTGACGTCTTCATAAATTTTAAGACGAGCAGTTAAGCTAGATATTTGATCACGACATTCATAAACTAAACGTGATAAACGACTAGCTTCAGATTTAATTTCATCTCTATTGGTACGCATAGCATGTATTTCTTGAATTAACATAGATTTCTCACTAATTTTAATAAACAAACAAAAAAGAAATAGACTATTTTAGCTCGGGATATCAATAAAAAAATACCAAATAAATGTTTATAAGCATGAACATATCAGACATATTGCATGAGTTATCTTAATCACTATTAACCAGTGGAAACAAAGATGAAACAGTCGAATTGAAAGTTCAGATATTAGTAAAGGCAACTTAATCGTAGATTGACAAACGTCTACGCAATGACTGTGAACAGTGATAGGCGACGAAAGCAAGAGACAGAAAGAGTGGCAGTTATAAGTAATAACAGATAACTTTTCCGACTTATCAAAGAAAAAGGTATTCAAATATCTGGTGGTCGTAAGACCATATCTGAAAAAGGATAAGACCATAACCCGCTTTCAGCCCACACAGTTGAAATGATGAGCGTAACACTTAGAGGAATGGTTAACCCGCCTTCAACTATCCATCAGTTGTCCACTGTCACCAAACAAGCTGGATGGGTTACAACCATAAACATGCTAACTCTCAGTGAAATTAAAAAGGCTACAGGTAATCTAAAGTGAGGGAGAGCAGAGAAACATGGTAGATTAACCAAGATTATTAAGGATGGTGGCTAAAATTTAATACTGACTGGGATATTAGCTACAGTTTGGGAATAGTATGTAACCCCATCAGACTGGTCATAATTAGTTTATGAGAAGGAACTAAAATCCTCTAGTTGCAACAGAGAAATCAGTTTGACTAATATAGTTTCTGAAATATTAGCTTCAACAATCTTCCAACGCTTAACTAAGGTTAATCGACAACAAACTTCAGAAAATCAAGCTGGTTTTCAGCCTTAATGTGGAAGTATCGACCAAATATTCGCTCCTAATCAGATAGAGAAACATGAAGAGATCTTGACCCTGGGGAACCACTTCTTTCCAATAATCGACAGGAATTATGGTAGAATCTGTCACCGAAACGAGTACAAGATAAGTGTGAAGACTCTACACGCAGGCAACCAATGGCCAGGCCGCCCAATTTCCCCATATTCACTTAACTTTGTCACGGATAAAATAACGCTTCATTCGTTTAAACTTTAGAACTGATCTCACGTCAGGAGATTCAACTATCGACTTAGAATACAGAGATTACATAGCCCTGCTCTTTGAAGGCGCTGAAAACATGCTGTCTTCTGAACGCCTTGAGCAATAATTAAAACACCTCCAAATAAAAGAGGTTGCTTCATTACTGGTTCACAAAATCGCCAAGATTTATCACAGGGAGTGTAGTTGGGCGTGCCAATTGTTTCACTTATCTTGGAATTCTCATTAAATCTGATGTGTTGTTATCTGAAGAAATCTCTACACAGGTTCAGAAGTCTTGCCTGACTTTAACGAGTTACGTCACTTATGGAGTAGGTGAGATGTCCATCTCCCAACCAAAGAACGAGTATCTTATGCAACAGTTCATTGTTTTACTTTATAGCTGTAAAAAGTAATATTTAAAAGCAAATTACACTTGAGGGTTACTAGTATTTGATCACAGGCGTCTTTGGGTCATCATTAGAATATGATGAAAACCGCCAAGAGAGCAATGTTGAGGTAGAACATATGGTAGTATGGAAGGATGGTTGATCAGTTGATAAGATTGTAAATCTTGAGCCACCAGTGTGATCGGGACATACACTACGTCCCACCATTGCCTATCTCGACGCTTGATGTTGACTGGTGTTAAAATAAGTTGGAAGAAAGCCAAGGATGGCCAAATTGAAGACGTGACATTAGTTCATGTAGTCATTGACTGTTAGATTTAGCCATGCTGGTGGGTCCAGACTACTTGGTTGAGGTGTACGGGATTATCGTGGTATGGCTCAGAATCAATCGCAACGGCGTAGATGCATTAACTCTCTGTTTTCATTTAGATTCACAGTTTTGAAATTATGTTTTTATTCCATAAATTCATTACTCATTCTCGAATTACATTGCTTAAATTTATCTTTGTTCCTAATACTGATAATACTGTTACTATCTTTACTACTCTGATATTTGTTTTGATAATTCCGACTCCCTATGGTAATGCGGTGTAACACAAATTGGACCGTTGCTAACAAGAGCCAAGTTCTATGTCGTTTATGACTGACTGGCTGAGATACTTTATTTATCCCACCAACCCTCTAAACATCTATAAAATAAGAAATTATCAGTATTTCTCATATCTGACTAGGAAAAAAGTGTTTACAACTAATAACAACAATATTTCTGTAATCTCATAGAAATCTAACTCCCTCCGATTACTGAAAACAAAAAAATCAAAAGTTGAACAACTTAGTAGCAAGTGGATTTTATCAGGAGAGGAACCAATAACTTTAGTTCGAAGCAAAGCCTTAAATGGTTACCTTACATCCCTACAACACTTACTACTACATAAAATTCACAGCACACATACTTTATATAACGTTTATTCACTTACCCGGTCACTTCATCTAGTTTTTTAATTAGATCATCTTTTAAAATATTTAAAGCATTTCTGAAACAAAGAGAAATACTACGTTAGAAATAACGAGAAGATACGTAAGTAATCACGTAATAAAACTGAGTCATAGAGTATTATTTTTAACTAACGAACAGGCATAAACTAAATTGATGTAATTTGAATAACTTAGAAAGCAACTAGATTATTCCGAAGAACGAAGGTTGAATAAACTGACGGTTTTAAAAATTACTAAGGAAAGAACGACGATCAAAACAAATTTGGCCATCTTGTTTTATCCTTGAAAAGTTACCACTAATTATAGTAAGGTCACATACATATACAGAAAGATAAGTTATTTTATTTAAGGCATATAAATATCGTGGTTTATTAGGGTACCAAAAAGAGACATCACACAAATAAACTGTGAAGGAAAGAAGAGAGAGTTGCAATATGTATGACTAAAGAAGGATGGTGTTTGCTAAAAACAATCCAGTTAAAAATACAACTAATAAATATTCTCCATAGTCAAGAAAGTTCATTTCACTTTAATGAAGGATTAGATAGAAAATTGAAGAAGGATTACCACTGGCTTCGATTCTGAACAATATCTGATAATATCTCAATCCACTGAGTTGAATCATCTTTACAAATCCAACTGAGTAATGACTGATAGACAGGTTCCAATCACAAACAGCTTCATTTCTTATTATGATACTATGTCATAAACTAACCATCTCTCTTACAGTACCCAAGTAATAGGCAATATAAGTCTTTGGAATGACATTCGTAGAACATGTCCACACTAATGAAGTCGGTGTTTAAAGACGGTGACAACAAATGAGTTATCAACACTATAACCAAACGCTGAAAAAACTTACATGCTCTTCTAAATGTTTACGGCACATCATCGACCACGATTTCACGGAGCAACCAAACCTTTTTTCAAAACTTTCAAGCATAATATCACTGCTCACGACTAAATAGTCTGGATAGCTTCAGTATCATTGGATAGTAAAACAATATCATCTGCATACTTAACACTGAACAATACTCCAGCTAACAGGTTCACACCATAAGATACTTCCTTTAGAGCTACCGATAACAAAGTTGGAGAGGAATGGTGAGATAAGTCAACGCTAAGAAACCAGATTGTTGGGTTGAAACAATAAAGCGAGGTGACCCTATGCCTTTTTCTGAAGTGATTGCGTAAAGATACTGCAAAGAATTGATAGAAATTTCTGTTACACCGTTTCTCACCAGGCTAATCCAGAGCATAGTCCTGTTTACAGTATAAAAGGCAGTCCTGAAGTAATACAAGGATTGACAGCCTTAAATAAGCTTAGCGGAGAATGAACCCAAGACATATACATTCACAACATGAACAAAAATAGATCTAGTCCTCAAGAGTTATTTTTAACGAGTTCTTTACAACCCCCAGAATATAACGAAGGATAATAACTTAGAAAAAAAAACAGAAAGCAGACATATGCCTCGATAATTGTTGTATGCATCATATAATCCCTTTTTCAAGGCGAAAACAACGAATGCTTCATTCCCAGCAAACCAGTCCATTTCCTGACTAGAAGTTCGCTAAAATTCTTGAAAATAATGGTGGGAATAGGTCATCTGAGCATAACGACTCGTGATGTCTCCGAGGTTGGAATTGCTCACGAAACGCTGTTTCGTTAGATAGATCGGGAGTCAATTGTCAATGAGCACGTAAGTATTGGGGCAATAAACCAGATCATCAGTCCGGGGAAATGCTACGTCCAACGTTTGACACTCACTTGAAAACTACCAGATGGAATGCCACCAACTTCTCAAACTATTTTACCGATATTAGACGTCTTTCTGCAAGTAACTCGAAGGAGTTGAAACAACTTCCGTTAATTGCAAACAACATGCAGTCGCTGCTTTCAAGTCGTTACCACACTGCGATCATCAAATGTTTCTACTCTTACGCGAGGTTTGTGAAATTTTCCGCAACGATGACCTACGTATACACTTGAACTTGTGATTTGCTGGAGATCATGTAGTGTAAATAAGTAGAAGGTAGCCTGGAAAAGCCCGACGCTTGTAAAGCCACAAACGACTTTGCTTGTATTTTTATTAAACATGCAAATGCAGTCAGTGGTTACTAAAAATTTTTAGTCAGTTTATCTTGGGAGCCTAGTTCAATTTGATATTTGCCTGAAACGGGTGTATCTAATCTGCCTATATTAATCTGTTTGAGACGATGAATTGTCTCACAAGCAAGAGACAAAGTTTAGAGGATACCAGGGCATGATTAGAATTCAGATAGGTACTTCAAAACGAACGATATTCTTAGACACAGCCACAATATTACTGGATAAACCAATTGTGACTGACTGAATTTTAGGCTTGAAATGCAAAGAGCAGATTTCAAATAGATGACTGTGTCGGGAGTTAATACTAGCTAGAAACAGTTTGCTATCACAAAGGCGCAAAAGATGTTCAACGTTATCTTACTCGTGATCGCTAAGTCCCTATTGACCACCCAAAAGACTATCCTCTGTTCCTAGACATCAGATAGCACCACAATATTTGCTGAAGGCCCATTTATCCGACAACAGAACTCGTTTTTTTACTACATAAGCGTCTGATTTTACAAAAGAAAAAACTTGACAACTGAACAGACACATATTATTATTGAATTGATTAAACGAACCACTTGTATTGTAATGAGAGGTATCGATAATGAATTGTTGACATCTCTTAAATAAAACAACTGCCACGACTTCTCACAAAACATCAAAAATTCATTTTCCTACTTATTAAGACGACTTAAGAATGTATTGTTTGCGTTATAACTAAACTACCATTCAATGCTTAATGTAATTAAAATAATCAAGTCACAATTTCGTATTGATAAAAACGAACTTGTACATTTTATATCGCCTTATGGATTACTGAATGACAAAGTAAACATAAGTTAGTTATTTCGATAGATACAATATTATTGGTCACTAAATTTTATTTCATATAAGTTTATACTGAACACAAAAAACGATAATCAAATTCAATGATAACTAACTTACTTTGTTTCATACAAATCAGTATTCTCTTTAATTAATTTTTCAACTTCTTTGATCATACCTTAATATATTTTTGTTGAAGAAAACAAAACAAATAAACAAAGAAGTAAAACTTCAAAAATTGAACTTTTCAAAATCAATAAGGCTAACAAAATTCCGACAACCAAATAAATAAGAAAACCCAGCAAAAATACAATTCCCAAAGGGGTGTGAGCTAAATAAAATAGGAATGTAACAGAAAAATTAGGAAACAGCTTAGTTATCATTTTGGCCACTTACACCAATAAAATGTATAGACTAGTGAGTAAACAACAGTAAAACACACATAGTTACTTATATGATTATTCAACATGATTGAAAAATCTAGAAATGAAAAATTGACATAACTAAAAATGTCTGAATATTTCTTTATCCCTAAACTTTAGATGAATTTGTAAACAACGCGTTCATAGACAATTATTTGGTTCAGTGGTTGAGAATTAGTCGGTAGGAAACCCTAAACCTATGTTCCCTGCCAGTTGAAATTCATCAACAAGACGTACCTGGAATCATGAGAGACCCTATGCTACTTGTGGGATTAGAACCTGCGCCAACCAGCTTCATATTCTAAGACGTTACTGTTAAGATAATCAGGTCTTAACTGACCTCCTATAGGATTGCGACCAGAATACGACCCAGATTAAGAAACTGAATGACTCCAATAAGAATCCCATAGGTGCACCTCCTTAATGGGTGAAGACAAACATCATAGACATAAGGCCTGGAATAGATACGTGTTGGCCGAAGTCCCCATACCTGATTAGCACGAAGAAATGAAAATAAAAAAGCGATCAAAGTAATGCTGTAGCTAGCGAGTGCCAACAGATATGAGGTCCAAGGTCTCCTGTTGAATACCTCCACTTCACATCAAAACATAGTGTGCGTGATGTCAAATTACCTAGATCAGTGACCACATTGCAGATTGGTCAATGGAATTCGATCAGGACCAAAGAATAGACAAACACGACATAGGTCATTATTCAGTAATTGATTGACTGTAAATGATTCGTTTTACCTACTATAAGGGTAATGAAAAAAACTACAATCAGCTTGTCTAAATACAATTATCATTGACGTATATGAAAGGAAGTTAAATGCTCTACGACGTTTTCCTCATTTAACTATTACTTTCACAAATTATCTCGACTTAATTTTGAATGGAGGATTATTTCCATGAGCAAATTATTAGCTCATCCTTCTTAACTATTATAGTAATGGCACCAGTGAATTAAGCCATCCCGATGAATATATACCCATATAATGACAATATGGATACCAAATAAGACAAATTAATCTTATTTACCAGAGAAAGAGGATAACACATTGTGACTTATCAAAGAGATTCTTTTCAAACATAATTTTTAGTTTGTGATAATCAAGCTACTTACGACAAAAATGGAAGCTCAAACAGATCACTCACACAAAACTTCGAAAAAACCAAAGATACAAAAAACAAAAAGTTGATTATGTAAATGTTATGACATAAAATAGAAAACAACATTTTGTACAATATTCAACAAGTGAACAGATATCGACCAATAGAAATATCCATTTAAAGTCCAAGGACACCATTGGACTTAACATGACAATTATTGGTCTATTCCTCCGCATCCACAACAGTAAAGAATAAATATATAAATGTAAGTGTAAAAGTTCACCCTGAAAATTATTAATAATGTATGAAGAATATTATCAACTCTGTATTGACTTAGAGCATTGTGTTCATTCGGGACTCGGCCATATGTAAGAGTATTTACAGAAATACTACTGAGGAATTTTAAACAACCATGAAACAGTTGGTTAGTGCTTTCTGACTTTTTAATAGTTCTCCAAGTGACGTTAAATTGTGATTAAAATTACCTTTAAATCTAACTGAATTACTTAGCAGATGAAATAAATTGTGGTTATCAGTAAATATATGACAACATGAAGAAGTTGAGTAATCAATCAACAATTAATTTAATACAAGTGCGTATTACCTCAAGATAATACACTTCACAAATAAATGAAAGTAAAACTAACAAAAGAAAAAGTACATATTCAAAAAAGATATTAACAATAAGAAGAAACCAAGAGAAAACCAATCATAATAAGAAATGAATAAGGAAATAAACACAACACTAGAAAGCATATTACACTTTTAGTGTGAAACCTGACGGTATTGTTCTGATAACCGATATTCAATAGATTAGACAAGTATGAACCCTATGAATAAACTAACAAGTCACAATAAAAAGTCTACTATCGTCTGATTCATAAAAACTATCAAGACCAACATAATTTTTTTTACCTGTCTCGGCAAATAATGAAAATAATAACAATAATATTATTACCATTATCTTTAATAGTTGCAATTGTTATCTTAAAAAAAACTGTATGACTACGTAGTATATAGAATTGGGTTCAACTGTTGAACTAGTTAGCCCCCTAAATATAGGCTGAAACATGTATCCTTAAGCTGAGCTTGGTCAAGTTTTTAGCATTTAAATTTAATCTCCATTCAAAACTCTGCATTTAGTCATTCGAATCAACATGAAGCTGGAATTTCAGCACAAGTTCGACCAAATATTCAATGATCCCCTCTTTTAATAGTTAATGGGGATAATTAATTCCGATAAATTTTCTTCATATATACCCAGAGCACAGCTGTTAGAATAGATGACGAATATTTGGTTTGTAAAACCTAGTTCCCTTTTTATCCAGCAGCACATCCCCACAACAAAGTATTTTTTTATGATAACTATATTTATATGTTTGATGTTTCGGTCAAACTTGTTCAAACTATAGTTAGATACAAGTAAAAATTTATTTGTTTCGGATTTACGTTGAGCTCTTAGTCTGAACACCATAGTAATATCCTAGTTGAGAAGTCCACTCACGATCTATCCTACGATTCAATTGTATACTAGTATATGGATATGAACAAAAGTTAATTATACAACTGAAAACTTTGTATTTTTTTAACGTATGAAAATAGTTAGTCCTAACTGCTCAAGTTGCGGATTAATGGTGGGTACATTGTTGTAGTTGTAGTAAGGCGGAACTTGCTGGAATCGATTTATCTCATAGTTAGACACTGCAATCTCGTTCTGCATATTACCTTCAACAGTGCTTTATTCAGGAAAAATTTCTAAATCCTACCTGCGAGTTTTTATAAGAGATTCTGTTTTGGAAAAAAAATTCATTTAGAAAATTAAAAGCTTTTCTGAATAAGAAAGTTTCGAAAATAAGGGCCATGTGACCAGATTCCAAAGAAATGTAAACAAAAATCTGTGTTTTAGTGTGACAATACGATAATGAACATAATCCTTCCCCGAATTGCTAGCTTTAAAAATACTGTAGGCATAACCACTGACATTACCATCATAAAAATTGAATAGTCTTAGTTTGACCTACAACATACACTAACAATATATGGATAGATAAACCATGGGGACGGTGACCTTGTCAATAAACAACTCAGCTTTTAACTAGTAAGTTGAAGTAACGTTATATTTCACCTACTTCGGCTTCAGTATCCAGGTGATATCATTAGTCCGGACACAAAGTTTACCTTAGGGTTAAATATACAAAACCTTTACTCAATAAATAACGTTTATGATTTTTTAAAATATTTATTTATTTGAACACATAAATATTGGTACAAGAGGGCTCCAAATATATATGTGCCACACAAAACAATGAGAATGGGAAGAGCAAAAAACAGAAAGGTAAGGAGCATAAAACAAAAAAAGAAGAAAAATAACGAACAGATTAGTGTAAGGTAGTGTAATAATAATAATAATGAGGGAAACAGAAAGGTACAATCAGAAGAAATCTTTCAGTTAAGGAAGATACAACCATTTTTTATGAAGAAAGCAAAAGAAGGTTACAGCAGGATCGCCACTGGCTTCTATTCCGAGCCATATCTGATAAAATCTCTAGCCACTGTGTTGCACCATCTCTCGGACCCCAACCAGGGAGTCCTGAAGGACCAACGCTAGCCAACCCTTTGCAGCTTTCTCCCATCCCACGACACCATGTCATACACTGACCACCTCTTCGCTTTTTCCAACCAGTCCCAGAGTCGGCAAATAATGCACGACGTGGAATTCTCTGGGACGACATTCGGAGAACATGTCCAAGCCACCGAAGTCGGTGTTTCAAGATGGTGACACCAATTGAATTATCATCTCTGTGCCCGAACACACGATGCTGAACCTATGCATTACTGACATGGTGTTGCCACTGAATGTCAGCAATCCTTCGGAGACAGCGATGATCGAACACAGAGAGTCGTCTAACGTCCTCAACTCGGAGTGGCCAGGTTTCACAAGCATAGAGCAAAACTGCTATTACCGACGCGTTGTAGATCCGACCTTTTACGGCCAGACTAACATCACGAAGGCGCCATAGATGGCCCAGATTGGCATAAGCCGCTCTGGCTTTCACTATACGTGCATTGATCTCATCACTCACACCCCAACCAGCACTTATGCAGCTACCCAGATACACGAACTTCTCGACTACGTCTATCTGCTCACCATCCAGGGTGAGTACAGGATTGGAATCCTGCCAGTCTTGTAGGAGTACTGTGCACTTCGAAGGTGCAAAGCACATACCATACCTACGGACACTGATTGCCAACTGATTAAGTGCGTATTGCATGCTTTGGGCATTATCGCACAGTAAGACAATATCGTCCGCATACTCAAGGTCGAGAAGTCTTTCTCCAGGCAACAGATCCACACCACCATTACTTACATCCATCAGAGCTGTTTCCAGAATGTCATCGATGGCAAAGTTGAAGAGGAATGGTGAGATTGCGCAACCCTGCCTAACCCCACTACTCGAATGGAACAATAGAGAAAGGTGGTTGTATGCCCTCACTCTGCCTGAGGTGTTTTCATATAGGGCTTTTAGGATGTTAATAAACTTCTCAGGCACACCCTTCTTCAATAGACAATCCCAGAGAACAGTTCTGTCCAACGAATCGAAGGCAGCCCTGATGTCAAGAAACACTACGATTGTTGGCCTTTGATA